TGGGGCACCATGGACGAAGCAGGCAGCTGTGCGAGCGGCGGAGGCTTCCGCCCGGGCGTGGACAGCCTGGACGAGCCGCCCAACAGCCGCATCTTCCTGGTGATCAGCAAGTACACGCCCGAGTCGGTCCTGCGGGAGCGCTTCTCCCCCTTCGGCGAGATCCAGGATATCTGGGTGGTGCGGGACAAGCACACGAAAGAGTCAAAGGGCATCGCCTTCATCAAGTTCGCACGCAGCTCGCAGGCCTGTAGGGCCATGGAGGAGATGCATGGCCGGTGCCTCGGCCCCTATGATACCAAGCCCATCAAGGTGCGGGTGCCGGGTCGGGATACCCGCGGGGACGGTGTTCGGGGGTGGGGATGGGTCTCGGGCCTCCCTTCCCCCGCAGCTGGGTCGGGGTCGGGCAGTGGGAGCCTGTCTGCTCCCGGGAGCGGACTAGGCGGCACCTGGCACTCTGGGGACGAGGAGCGGGGAGGACGGCCTTGGGAAGAAGGTTTTTCAGGACCGCTCGCGCGCCTGCGTCGGGGTGCAGGGATGGGGCGGGGGAGGTGGGGGTGCTGCCCCCTACTTCGAGGGCTTCTCTGACCCTCCTCTCTCAGAACAACATTCCCCCTCCCCCCAGTTGACCATTATAAACACAGATGACTCTGCTTTTCCACAGTTAGGTATGGGGTTTAACAACTTGATACGAGTGCATTCAACTGTGGCTCTCTGGTGTTGGGCATTTTCCCACTGCCTGACAAATGTATATAATATTTAAGTGCAGGTGATTAAAATGGCTCATATTACATATTTATCCCTTTTGTGATTTTCAAAACCATTTTAAATAAGCCCTATCGGTGAAGGTATGAATAGCCTGTGTCCTGTTACTGCCGCTCTTCTTGGAAAGCAAACCCAAGTGAACTGCCTTAAGAAGAGCCGAATCGTTGTGATGGATGGTAGTGTAGTTGTATTACGTGATGCTTTGTGTACTTAGTTCACCCTGGGGGTATTTATATTAAGTTTCTTCACTCCTCTGTAAAATTAAGGTAAATGACACATGGCAGGAAAGGCAGTTTTGAGGGTTATATGACAGGCTCTGCTTTTAGCACAGTGCCTGGTACAAGGTAAGCCCTCCTATATCCTTATTGTTGCCGAGATGTCATTCCTTACTTGCTGTGAACGGAGAATCTAGCAGTTGCTTTACGGTGTACCCTTCGCCTGTCCTGCAGAACTAGGTAGCTTTCCACAGAATTCTGCTTTCTCAAAGTTTTTTCCATTTACTACAGAAAATGAGAAGAATATTACAAATATGGACTTACATAAATGAAACAGATATTTCCATTTCTGGAGGTCTTTTCTTTACCCCCTTGTGCAAAAGAGGAGGTGCCTGGGACTGCACCAACAACAGTAGACACTCCCACCTCTCCAACCCTTTGACTTGGGTGACAACAGATCCTCAACAAAACTAATTGTAAGGCCACAGCATATTCTAGATCGGGGATTTGCAAACTTGTTTTCTAAAGGTTCAGATAGTAAATATTTAGGTCTTGTGAGCCACATACAGTCTGTCAAATACTCTTTATTTTCAACGGCCTTTAAAAATATAAAAACAACGCTTAGGTTCTAGGCCTTTAAAAATATAAAAACAACGCTTAGGTTCTAGGCTGTAGAAAAACAAGGCTGTAGTTTGCTGACTCCTGCATTAGATTGATCATTTTCTTTTCTTTTTTTTAAATGTATTTTATTGATTTTTTACAGAGAGGAAGGGAGAGGGATAGAGAGTCAGAAACATCGATGAGAGAGAAACATCGATCAGCTGCCTCCTGCACACCCCCTAACTGGGGATGTACCCGTAACCAAGGTACATGCCCTTGACCAGAATCGAACCTGGGACCCTTCAGTCCACAGGCTGATGCTCTATCCACTGAGCCAAACCGGTTAGGGCATAGATTGATCATTTTCATCTTCTTCCAATTATGATCTTGGGGAAGAGGGTTTTTATACTTTTGAGTAACATAACCACAGAGATTATAACTGAAAACATGCTCCAAATTTGAAACCCATAAATCTCCTTTCCATCATTAAATTACTATAAGAGAAGTAAAAGTCCCAACACTGAAATGCACCTTCCCTTTTAGCCACAGAGAAATTAAATTACTCCCAAAGATAATAAAAGTTTAAATTCTGTTTTTCACATTTTTGTTCACTCATTTTCAGCCAGAGGGTTGTTTCACTACAGTGCCCAGCTAGACGGTCTTAAGTTCATTGTTCAGCAGCTGCAGCTTGAGCTGTCTTCCACGGGAATGTAATTTTTTTTTTTCTCAGTATTCCCAGTTAAATTAATTCAGCTTTAATTTTTTTCATGTACTTTGCTTTTGCAAAATTCCAAAGGATCTACCTACAAGACAAATTACAAAATTACAGCACCAGGCCTACAGCCAGTAGATGTCCAAGTAAAAGTCATTTTGTTACCAGCTACATTATCTAAAGGAAAACAGTAAACCTAGGAAATACAAGAGAAAAATAATTGGTTTTTAGCTTTGCAAGAATGTCTCTTAGAACCCATAGTCTGTGAACATAAAATCTCAGGAGTCATCCAGTAGGAGATTAATGATACATGTTGTCTACTTACATACTGTCTCCTTTATCAGATATATGAAACATTCTAGTCTGCTAATATTTAGAAATTTGTGATCTGATGGCACTTCCATCTCAAGTCTTACTATCTGAGACTCCTTTTCCCTCCCTGGTATCCTCCCATATACTTAAAGGTTCCCTGTTGTCCACTAGACTAACTTTATAGAGGGCCATTTCCCCATTAGTCAGTGTTAATAATATTTCATAATATAGTGGACATACAGTGAAGATTTACTGAAATTGGAAGTAGACTTTACCTGGGGATATATATCTGGCTGTCTTGTAAGCAAGTTCCACACCTCTGTGACAGCTGTTTTCCAAGCAAACATAACAACCTTCTTTTTAAAAAAATAATCCTTTATTGTTGAAAGTATTACATATGTCCCCCTTTGACCCCCTCCAGCCCGCCCCCGCCCCAGGCCCTATCTGTGTCCATGGGCCATGCACACCTTCTTTTTCAATATTCCTAAAATCTCATGGCTTTATAAGCTCTGAGTTTTTTAGTTGCTGCCTCTTACTCTATAATACCATAGGTCCAGATTTTGTCATTCTTAAATGACATAGAGCCCCCCCTTTAAAAGAAGAAAAACCCCTCAAAAGCCTTTGTGTAGCAATTTATATTAATTTTATTACTTTTCCTCAAGTTATAAAAATAAAGCTAGCCATTAAAATTTTTGTATATAACTCTATATACAAATCCACAATCCTATTTAGAGATTCTAATATTACTCTGGAATAATATAAAACAGGTGGGGAGCTTTTTTTTTGGTGGGGGGGATATTTATAACATCATTCTCGGGCCATACAAAATTATCAACTTAAAAATTAGCCTGCTCTATTTGGTCAAACATTTAATTAACTTATCCCTAATGCCTTGGCAGGGCCAGACCAAATGATTTCGCATGCCTTATACGACCTGTGGGCTGCATGTTCCCCACCCCTGATATAAAACCAAGACAATTTTACAAATTAGAGCAATATAAAATTTAATTCCAAGTAATAATCTAATGCCATAGGTGATGTTTCAATAAAACTCAATTATCAATAGTAGAAAAATAGAGCCTCAAATCATTCTGTATATTTTCTTACTCAGTACATCATTTGCATTGTCACTGAGATGATCCAGAGTATGGTAATATTTTTTTTTTTAAATCCTCACCCAAGGATTAAAAAACCTAGATATGTGCCCTGACCAGGAATCGAACCCACAACCTTTTGGTGTACTGGGTGATGCTCCAACTAATTGAGCCACCTGGCCAGAGCTATCTTTTTTTTTTAAAGAAGATTGATGATAGAAAAAAATTAAGAATATGACCATCTAGAATTAAAGCCAACTATGTCAAATATTACATTAAACAAATATACTAAACATTCCAATGAAAAGGCAGAGATTGTCACCTTGGCTGGTGTGGCTCAATTGGTTGGGCGTCTTCCCATGCACTAGGTCTTACCATGAAAAGGTTGCCAGTTCAATTTCCCATTGGGGCACATGCCCTGGTTGTGGGCTGGATTCCCAGTAGTGGGGTGCAGAAGGCAGTCGATCAGTGTTTTTCTTACTTAAATATCAAGAAAAAAATCTTTAAAAAAAAGTAGATTGTCAGGATTTAAAAAAAAGAATGAACTAAATGCTATTTACAAGAGACACTTTGGGTATAAAAAATACAAAGTGGTTGAAAGTAAAAGAATAGAAACAGCTGGTGTGGTATCAGACAAAATTATCTTCAACAGGAGAGGAGTATTAACAGATATAAAAAATTCAGTCAAAAAGTACATAACAATCCATATTGTTTATGTAGCCAATAATAGAGTTTCAAAATACATTATACATTATTGATAGAACTAAGGAGACAAATTCACAATCAGATTTTTATACATTCCTCTCAGTATCTGATGGAACTAGTAGACAAAATCAGTAGATATGTAACATTTTAATAACACTATCCTATATAATAAAAGCCTAATACACTAAGTGTCTGGTCGGCCATTCAACCAATCAAAGCGTAATATATTAATGATATGCTAAGGCCGCTCAACCGCTCGCTATGACATGCATTGACCACCAGGGGGCAGATGCTCTGACGGTAGGTTAGCTTGCTGCTGGGGTTCAGCTGATCGGGACTGAGCGAGATGGGCAGGACACGCCCTGGAGCCCTCCCTCGGTCCCTCCCTGGCTGGCCAATCTCCTGCATCCCTCCCTGGCTCCAATCATGCACTGGTGGGGTCCCTCGGCCTGGCCTGCATCTGCTCGCAATCTGGGATGAGGGACTCCCCACCTCCCTCTAATGCACAAATTTAGTTCACCAGGCCTCTAGTTAACTATAAATTGGCATTTAGTGAACACTACCCAATAACTGCAGAGTACACATTCTTTTTCAGCGCATTCACTATTTTTGGTAAACCAGAATCCAAACGTAAAAATACATTTGGAAAAAATAGTGCAGAGATTGGTAATCCTATATAATAAAAGGCTAATAAGCAAATAGACCGAATGGCGGAACAACCGGTCGCTATGACACGCACTGGCCATCAGGGGGCAGACGCTCAACGCAGGAGCTGTCCCCTGGGGGGTCAGTGCGCTCCCACAGGGGGAGCATCACTCAGCCAGAAGCGGGGCTCATGGCTGGCAAGCACAGCGGCAGTGGCAGGAGCCTCTCCTGCCTCCGTGGCAGCACTAAGGATGTCCAACTGACAACTTAGGCCTGCTCCCCAAGGGCTCTCGGACTGCGAGAGGGCGCAGGCCAGGCTGAGGAATCCCCCCTGGGAGGGGGGGGCAAATTTCGTGCCACAGGCCTCTAGTAGCTCATATAGGAAGTCACTGCAGCCCAGCCAGGTGCCTCAGTTGGTTAGAGCATCTTCCTATACACCAGAAAGGTTTCCCGTTCGATCTCCAGTCTGGGTGCATATGGGAAAAACCAATAGATGTTTCTCCCTTTCTCTCTCTAAAATCAAACATATCCTTGGGTGAGGATTTTTTTTAAAGTCATTGCAATAAAGATTGCTTAAAATTTTTTCATTTTACCTTATTACATTAACCTACCATGAACTTCATACTAATAATGAATTAAGTATATTTAAGGAATAAGGCCCAAGCTGATTTGGGTCAGTGAACAGAGTGTCGGCCTGCAGAGGTCCCAGGTTCGATTCCGGTCAAGGGCACATGCCTGGGTTGTGGGCTCAATCCCCAGTAGGGGGCGTGCAGGAGGCAGCCAATCAATGATTCTCATCATTGATGTTTCTCTCCCTTCCTCTCTGAAATCAATAAAAATATTTTTTAAAAAGAATAGGAAAACAACTGATTATTTTCACATTATTTTGTGGAATTTATGTGTTTCTTAGGTTTTAATTGCTCAGTCCAGATCATCTGGAAATCACCGAGATGTAGAAGATGAAGAACTTACAAGAATATTTGTTATGATACCAAAGTCCTACACAGAAGAAGATCTACGGGAAAAATTTAAGGTACTTATGTTTTCTAATCGGCTAGCATTTGATAACTCATAATCCTAAATTGGTTGCACAGTTACTAAATCTAAAGTGTGATGTGAGTTAGATCATTAGATTGGTGGTGGAAATTAAATAACTATTTTTAAGCTATCTTTTTCAATCTGTTTTTTAAGTATTAAACCTAGAATAAAGTAACTTTAAAAATTATAGACTATATAAAAACTGGAAAATACATACGAGCATCTTGGTGTATTAGTTCACATAACCTTTAAATTAACTCTGTGAGGTAGGTAGAGCTATTAGCACCAATTAACAGGTACGGAGACAGCCACAGAGAAGATAACTAAACCACTTAGTTAATAAGTGGCTGGGCCAAGATTTGAACCAGAAGGTTCAATTCCAGAGCCTCTGCTCTTAACCACTAATGAGCAAGACTTTGCAGCTCTCAGACTGTTCAAATTCTTACTCTCCCTTTATAACTTGGGCAAGTTATTTGATTTCTCTAAGGCCCAGCTTCCTTTTCTGTGAAATAAGCAGTAAAGTATATATTCCCCCCAAAATATATACACATTTTAACAGCTGATGGCTCTGTTTGAAAACCAAATGTATTTTAATAGATACTGCTTTTATAATCAAAGTGTGTGTATACATTTAGGGGACATCCTATATATATCCTTGAAGGACTGTTGTAACAATAAGATAGTATATATAAAGCAAATGCTCACTAAATAAACATTTTCATTATTTTGGTTATTATTTGGTTATGTCATTATTATGGTTATTTTTCTAGTGCTTCATTAGTTTGTGTCATTGTAAGTCCATTATTAAAAATGACTTTAAATTCTAACTCTAATTTCTTTTTTTGGCAAATAAGAGGTATAAATAAATTTTAAATAGTTTTGAGATAATCCCTGTTCAGTTACAAATTTTGACTCTTCTAAGATCTTTTTTTTAACTCTCATAGGTGTATGGAGATATCGAGTATTGCAGCATTATTAAGAATAAAATGACTGGAGAAAGTAAAGGTTTGGGCTATGTTCGATACTTAAAACCATCACAAGCTGCCCAAGCAATAGAAAACTGTGATCGAAGTAAGTATGTGTTTGTTTAACATTGTTAAAAACTTTTTTAAAATTACAATTATTCTCAATAACTGAATCTAATACTGGTTTTTGTTAATAATCATATCTACTAATTTAATCTTAGCATTAGGAGTTTAAATATATATAGCCCTCAGATGAAAATTCTTTTGGGCTATGATTAAGCTTTCATTGAGGCACCATCTTGAAAAGAAATAGCAACTGTATTAGCTTAGTAAGTGAAAATGTTGTTGTCATATTTTGGTTATTATTTCTATAGGTTTGGATTGGGTTTTTTTTGTTGTTCTTTTGTTTTTAATATATTTCTTTATTGATTTCAGAGAGGAAGCTAGAGGGAGAGAGAGATAGAAACATCAATGATGAGAGAGAATGATTGGCTGCCTCCTGCACGCCCCCGACTGGGAATCGAACCCGCAACCCAGGCACGTGTCCTAGGCCAGAATCGAACCTGGGACCCTTCAGTCCGCAGGCCGACGCTCTATCCACTGAGCCAAACTGGCTAGGGCTGGATTGTTTTTTTGTGGTTTTTTTTTAAGTACATATTTTACAATATTAAGTATTTAAGAAATTGATCTACCCTTTCAGGTGTTTTTTAAAAATATTCATATTAAAATAAACTCAATAAGTTTTAATATTTATTCATATTTGACCTAAACTCTAAATAGAATTTAGTATACTAACAAACCTAGGTTAAGGATAGCATTTATAAGTTTGCTAATATAGGTAAGTAAATATACATTGAGTTAATTTCAAGCTAGAGTGACATCGATTAGATCTGCTGTTGCCTGGTACACATCATGGAGAATAAGAATTATAAAGAAGAGCCCTGGCTGGTGTTGCTCAGTTAGAGCATCAGCCAGGGCACTGAAAGGTCACAGGTTCGATTTCAGGTTAAGGGCATGTACCTGGGTTGCAGGTTCATTCCCCACCCAGGTCCTGGCGCTTGTGGGAGGTAACCAATCAATATGTCTCTCTAACATTGATGTTTCTCTCTCTCCCTCCCTCCCATCCCCTCTGAGAACAATAGAAAAAATCCTCAGGTGAGGATTAATAAAATAAAAAAAAAAGCAGCAGCAGCCAAGGAGAATTTTCCTTACTGTGATACTTCTAGATATATTGACCTTTAGAAATGCGATATGCAGTAATTAAATTAGTGTGTTTCAGGATATAAAAATTTATACATACTGCAAATAATTGTTGTTAATTAGGTAACCCTAAGGTACACACCAAAATTTGCTCTCAGAGCCTTCTAAATTTCTCACTCAGCATTAATTGAATACCTATGGTATACTCATCAATAGGTTAAGAAGAGGCTTACAAATGAAATATAAAATAATCTTGTCATTTAAGGAATTTATAGCTATATTGCATAGCCAAGATCTAAAGGGCAAAATATAAAGAATAAAAGAATTTTTAAAAGCTCTTTGAAAGCAAAGTGTATGTCTTATTTGTCTATTTCTGTCATCCCAAGTACCTAGTATAGTAATAAACCCTTAATAAACATTTATTGAGAACTTAAAGATACTGAAAATAATCTAACAGGTGAAAAACAAGTACACTGAATGAACATGGGAATACATTGGAAGTTGGATTTGCATGTGGTGGGGAGTAGGCTGGACAGAAGGTGAGAGCTACTTTGGATTGCCTTGTAGATTGTTTTAAAAGGAGAAAAATAAAAACTATTTCAGTACAGTTGATCTAACCACAATATCAAGGATGGATTTCCAGGGAAAGAATTCAAACCGGCTACTTTCATCCTTTTTGAAGCCATTGAATAATACAATGGGAACTATGAACCTTCTTTGAAACATGTCCATATGCATAAGCATTTTGTTTCGAGTTTCAGAAGGTTCATGAAGGAACCTTCCCACCTTTTGAAGCTCATTCTTGCATCCTTATTTAAAATCCTGGATCCATAGGCAAAGAGACCAGTTGAAGGGTTGTTGTAATTAATTGAAGAGAATCTAAATTAAAAACAGGCAGGGAAGTTAGAGTGAAATATAACACCATCTTAGTGTATAATGGAAATAATCTTGATGACAGGTTCAATGTTAAGAAGCCTATAGGATTTGATGTTGAGGATCCTGGGACAGTGAATGATGATGTCATCTGTAGTTAGGGGAGATTAGAAAGAATAGCATAGAATTGCTGATCCTTCATGTCTTACATTGACCCATAATTTGGAATTCTTGCTGTTTTTTATTTGACCTTTTTTATATTCCTAAAAGCAAAGAAGTAGGGTCTGGTGGAGATGACAATTATATATATTTTGTTTTATACAATTATACAGGGTATCCCCCAGAAATGTATACACATACATTTTTTTGATAGCTCAATTGATGTTTCTTTTCAGATTTAACCCATTAGAATGAATAATTATTCAAAGTGTGTATACATTTTTGGGGGGACACCCTGTATTTATAAAGCTGAGTCAATCACTAGCAATCAAGTATATTTACGGGTATGTTAAATTGCTATGAAGCTTGAAATTCATGGATTCTCTTTTCAGGTTTTAGGGCAATCTTGGCTGAACCCAAAAATAAAGCATCTGAATCCTCAGAACAAGATTATTATAGTAATATGAGGCAGGAGACTTTGGGACATGAACCTAGAATAAATATATTTCCATTTGGTAAGTGGGCTACCTTTACCTTATAGTGGAAGTAGTACATACAATCTCAACTGACTTTTTAAAAGTATTATTTTATTAGCAGTCTGTAATATATCACTTAGTGAATAAAGGTCATACTGTAGTGGTGCTTTTGTTTTGTTTTGTTTTTAGTTTGTCATGACTTCTCATGTCCTTAATATTTAACACTTATTTTAACTTACTTTCTATTATAGTTTTCTATGGTTAGTTATGCATTTTCTCAATATTAAATTGTCACTACCACCTTTTTGGGTGAGCTGCTATCTCTACGCAGCTGGCCAAAAAAGTATGAAAGACATAGACAGATATTTCCTCAGTATTGAATCCTAAAATTGTGTCCCTAAGCCACTGTTGCTTTAAAATTAGAGCTAGAGAAAGGAGAGGAATAACAAAAGTAGGAAGCTAGGAAAAGGGGGAAATGAGTGGTGAAAGTAAAGACTGTGAATGTCATTTGGCACAAATGTTCTTTTAGAAGAAACACGTCATATTTTGCAGTTTCGCATACTAAACATAATCCTATGAAATTAGACTACGCATTTCTGCTTATGTTTCTGTGTTGAAGGCTGGACAGTGGGCAAAAGTTTTCAGTTTTCTTGTCATTGGTTCCTTTTGTTGGTACTGATTACCAAGAGCATTCTACAAAATACAGTGCCTTTGTTCAGTGGAATGGACACAATGAAAGTTCATTTTCTTTTCTAGTACCTAAAGTGTTAAATGAATTCTTGAATGTATAGAAATTTAAAGATTTGCTTTTTTCTATATTACTGGAGAGCAACAACCTGAATTTTCAAATTTTGACAAGAATGACAACAGAGGCCAAGAAGCTATCTCCAAACGCCTGTCTGTTGTATCAAGAGTTCCTTTCACTGAAGAGCAGCTTTTCAGCATTTTTGATATAGTACCAGGATTGGAATATTGTGAAGTTCAACGAGATCCTTATTCAAACTATGGTAAAATAATGTCTACATTATTTTTAAGTGTGTATTTTGTTAAAATGGCTTTTCTCCAATGAGACTTCATATGTTAGATACTGTTTGTGTGACAATTTTTCTTTTTATCTGCTTTAAACTTTAAATACAGTGATTCCTTAATAAATAACCCCCTGGGAATATGCCTTCTTTCTGCTGAGTCTTTTTTTTTTTTTTTTAATATTTTAACTCCCACAAAATAGAGCATTTTCTATTTCTGGTTGTAAAACAAAAACACCTCAAGATAGGGTCTCTCTCTGTACTCTTTTTTTTTTTTCTTCTTCCCACCCACCCTCCCTCGCCTTCCCTCTGAGCTTCCGCAATCCATACTCTTGATTAATGCTAGGCAAATTTATAAACCCTTAAATATCCTCCTCAGCCCTACATCTCTTTTTCTTAAACTTTATACCTTGAATTGAAACTTCTTTCCTTCACTTCAAGTACCTACTTTATATTTCCCACTCTTAATAGAAGCAAGGCTGTAATATCAGCCATTTGAACTTTTAACTAATTAATTGATTAAGCCTATTATCTAGTGTTAGCTTAATCCATCTTGTATTTTTAAAGCCTTTTGACTTTGAAAGGCTTTTTTCAAGGGAGGCATTTAAAGGGAGGTATTATCCTTAAAATATCATGTTCATATTTTTACCAAAATCTGGCTTATACTTTGCTTTGTAGGAACACAACTATTACACAGGTGTGTAAGCGAACTTTGTTTTCTGACACACTTGATTCTGTATTTACTGTCTGTATGATATTAGGGTATTTCTACATTGTTTCATTTTTGTGGCAATACCACAAAAGTATTCAATCTTTTTTCTCTTTAACTCCTCTATATTATCTACCTTTGTTTTAGGTCATGGAGTGGTTCAGTATTTCAATGTAGCATCAGCTATTTATGCAAAATACAAGTTACATGGATTTCAGTACCCTCCTGGAAATCGGATAGGTGTTTCTTTCATTGATGATGGGAATAATGCCACAGAGTAAGTACCATTCCAGAAGTGTCTAAAGCCAAGCTTTGGGTATATGTGATTATGATTTGAAAAATAAAAATATAAAACAATCTCTCAAGTGAGGAGGCCATACAAAACAAGTTACTGTTAAGAGACAGTATTTCTAGTTTTCTGTAAATTATCAGTTGTTATCTCCAGTCTCCTTAGAAAAATGGCAACACAGATGGTAGCTGCACAGCTTGCATCAGTGGTGTGGAATAACCCAAGTCAGCAGCAATTTCTGGTAAGTAGGTAAGAATTTAACCTTCCATAGGGTATAAAATAAATGTGGCCTTGGTTTATTACCTATGTAAGAACATTTTCAGAGCTATAGTAGAAGACCACATAGGTGCCATGATACTCATCTCTTTAGCTCTTGACTTAAGATCCCTAAAGTGTAGTTTTTCTTTTTCTCGTTTTGTACCCACCTCTTCAGCAGCAATTTGGAGGAAGTTCTGGATCACAGTTGCCTCAAATCCAGACAGATGTTGTACTTCCATCATGCAAAAAAAAAGCCCCTCCTGAAACTTCTGTGAAAGAAAGACTGTTTATCGTGTTTAACCCTCATCCTTTACCTTTAGATGTATTAGAGGATATATTCTGGTAAGATATCAGTTCTACAAAGTTACATTTTATAATATAATTTGTTTAAACCAGTCCTTTAAGCACTCACAATCTTGAAACTTCTTAAATCCAATACCTATTAGATAGAGATGATTTGTTCTGTGCTTTAAAAAACTATTGATACCACCTTTTAAAATATATGGTCATTTCCTTATCTATCATTCACACATCCTATGTTTCCACACAGAATTAATTTCCTGTTTTGTTTTTTTTAAGGCATAAACCCATAGGATTGTTTTGAAAAGCATACGTAGAATGGACAAGTCATCTGTTCATATAAGATACATATGCATACACCTGTCCTCTAGAATTCTTTCCACATAGCCTTCTCATTGTAGTTGTAATTTAAATGAACAAAGTTTACTAAGTATCTTCTGTTTTGTTCATACTCTGTTGTATCCTTAAGGATTTTATAAAAACTTCATTGAGTAAACAATTACTTGATTGTATGGAAGAACATATAATTAGTGTAAAAAGGGGGAAGGCTCTTGTTTATTTCTGTTTTTAATATAACTCCTTCCTTAACTTTTTCTTTTTCCCATGTGCCTTACAACAATGTTAGTGAATTAAAAAGATAGATAGGAAACTTACCAAAGAGCTGCACAAAATGTCAGGTATGTGGTTCAAACTCAAGTATTTTGACTCTCCTTTAGTTGACTCATTTAGTTTATTTCTTGAACCTGTCTTCTGGTCCAGGCAGGCACTATGCTAAATGCTAGAGACATTATATAAACAAAACATTATAATAGGTAAACAAGATAAAATAGTTCTTGTCTTAGAGATAACCTTATTTAGGAGACATATAAGTAAATAGGGAATTTCAACCTGGTAAGATTAGTGCTATGAAAAGAGTGGACAGGCTATGAACTTAGTAGACTCCCTGAAAGAAGTAAGGTATAGTGGAGACCTGAAGGATAAAAATAATTTAACCCAGAAAGAAAGCTGGGAGTGTGGGTGGTTATTGCTGCCAGAGAGAATGTGAAAGAGGTTATTAGAATATAGAATTTGAGACTGAGGGAAGATAAAGCTGGAGAGGACAAGAAACTGTCAAGAAAGGCTCACAAAGTGTCTTAAGGAGTTTGTCTTACTCTGGAGGCAATGAGGAGCTGCTGAAGGGACTTTTAGGGAGGAAATGATATTTATGTTTCAGAAAGATCACTCAGAAGACAGGGTGGGGAATGGATTGGAGAGGGACAGGGCAACTAGTAAAGAAGATATTAGAGTAACCTAAGAAAAAGGTAATGATGATCTTCATGAAAAAAGAAACCTGAGTGAGAATGAAGAGAAACTGACAGAGAAATGTTTAAGAAGTGAGATTGAATGGAAGATACGATATGGTGAAAGAGGTGAAACGGGAGTCCAGAATGGACCCCAACTTTTAGACCTGAGCAGCAGTATTTAGTAACGTCAGTTGATTTTTTTTTAATTTTTTTTTTTTTACTTTCTTTCAGTCGTTTTGGTAACCTGATCGAAGTTTACCTTGTGTCAGGAAAAAATGTGGGGTATGCGAAGTATGCAGATAGAATAAGTGCTAATGATGCGATTAGTACTTTACATGGAAAGATCCTGAATGGAGTCAGACTTAAAGTTATGCTGGCAGATTCCCCACGTGAAGAATCTAATAAACGACAAAGAACTTACTGATTCTTGAGGTAAGCCTTTTTAAATCTGAATTTTAAAGCACACTGGCTAAATAGTGTAGCAAGAGGAATATGTATAATATGTACTTTAGGAGTTTCTTTTTAGAAGTTGTCAGTTGAAAGCATTGTGGCTTATAACTTTGCTGATAAAACCAGTTCAGATTAATTTTATAAAATTTTTTTTTTAACTTGAACTCTTTAAAACTTAAATGGTTTCAATGTTTACTGGAAGAATGTTTTTGCCCTTCTATAAAATAAAATCATTTCAAATTGGAAAATTAATTACTTTTTGGTTTGTGAATGTCATAGATATTAAGAGTTGAACTTTTTCACTATATGCTTTCATAAACATTAAAGTTGAAGTACTTATAAAGATTTTTAACTTGAAGACTTAATGACTTGCGTTATGAAATGAAGTAATTTATAAGTCTTTATAAAGAATGTTTTCAGTTCTCATTAATAAAATGCCTAAAGCACCACATCAAATAATAGAACTTTGAACCTAAAGTTGGTGTTTTCCTGGACTTATATATATAAGCTTGTGCTTTAAAACTACACATTCAGAAAAATATTCTTTTGTGCATATATGCATTAAAAAAATAATCCTGACAATTTACCAAAAACCCTTTTGTTTATCATAAATATTGATACATGCAGCCATATAAATTCCTTTTATTAGTTTTCAGAAATCGAACTTAAATTTTTATTTTCTGTAACAGTCAATCTATATCTTCATGGGTTGGGGAAACATTCTTGTAAATTTAGAAATGTTCAACTATTTCACATTTTTATTCTATAAATGAATTCTGAGTTTCAGGGGAAGGAGTGAGCGTTTTCTCTTCTCACACATACTAGCTTCCCAAGTCCACTGCTAGTCAAATGGTAGCAGTTGGCAGGCCCTTTGGATGCACTTTTTCCACTTGAGGTTTTCTTTCTGATCAAGAGAATTATCAATATCAGGATGAATTGCCTCAAGCCTTCCTGCTGATGACCCTTCCCTAGTAGAGCAAGTTAAGTGGTTAGTTCCTCCTTCCTAGAAGGCAGTTGACAATAAGAAGTGTTCATTGAGCCCATTGTGAGTAATCCTAATTTAGAAATGTTTTCAAATGTTTTATTTGATTACAAAACCACGCCCATTACTCCATACAATGTAGAAATACTAAATTGCCAGTGAAAAAGAATTAGCAATTCTTTTTTAAAACAAAGCAGTTATTTGTGTTTACAAATAAAATGTTAAGAACTGACTTGTTTAGACAAGCTGTCTTCTAAAATAGCATGAAAGTGTATTTATTCATGTCTGAATATTTCAACATATAAGTAACAGTTTTTTTATTCAAAGAATTTTTGTCTTTAAAAATTTCTTAGTATCAGAAAAATATGTAAATTAATCTTGTAGTTGAATCTTTCCTAATGGTTATGATATAGTATGGAGAATATTAGGCTTAAAATGAGAAGAGCGGAGTTTGAATTCCAGCTGACACTTAACTGACTATGATTGTGCAGATCTCTTCACCTTTCTGAGACTTTTTTTCATGGTGTTATTGAAAGAACAATGTTAATTATTTAAAATGTTTTAAAAAAATTTTTAAAACTCTTATATTGGTGACTTAAGTGAAACCTTTGAGATATCATCTCCAAATGATCATAAACTAAAAGTTTAATGATACAAAACTACCTTGAGGTTCTCTGGTACAGAACTTTATAATACCCTGTAATAGTGATGTACATTCATCCAATTCCCTACATTTGAGGAAGTGCCTATTTTTCAGCATGACTAGTCATGAAATATACACCTACCATTTTCCCTTATTGAACTATTTATTATACATATTTAGAGCAAAGATGAGGAGGGTCAGATTAGTGAAATTCACGAGGACATGACACCGCTCAAGAAGGCTAGTTCCTTTCATCTCTGAGGAATAAGCCCAAGTTTCAGTGAGCCACACCTAGGAAATAAGAGAAGAAACTGGTCTAAGAATATAACTTTGAGAGTAGTTGACTGATGTTTTGAGATGAAGCTGATATACAAAATATGCCTCTATTTGAGGAAAAGAGAAATTCTAGTATTTCATAGCATTCTGATTTTGTATTAATTTACAGCATTTTCCCTCCAGAAATTCAGTATGTGCTTGCATCATCCTTCCAGGTAACTTTGGTTTTGCTTATTTGGGGGCATCTATGAATAAGTAAGCAGATAACATTGGTTATACTGAAGTAAAGGAACAATTCCTAACATTTTAGGAATACTATATACAACAGCTGTTTCCTTCCAGGTGATGATTTTCATACTTGTGTTGTGTTCTTTCTACAGAACAAAGACTAAATAATGACATAATCCTCAGCTGACTGACTGAAAATGTGACTGGACGCACTCCCTGTGGACAGTTGACAGCTTTTTTTTCATATGTTTGATAGTCTGTGCACAACATTGTTTTGTCTGGGGAACAGGGATTGTTGACATTTGTTTCTTAATCTACACATTAATGCTAAAACTAATATAGTAGTTGTTTCTTAGAGCAATATGTTGTTATGTGTAGTAGAAATAAAGTTTTCTTTGCTTAACTAAATCATGCCTTATTTATGTGAAAGTTGAGAGTGAAAGATTTAATAGATAGTGTTTAGAATATGACTAAATGACATATTTCATTGATTTTGAGATGCACGTTTTTCCACTTCTGCAATTGGAAATGTCCCAATTATTGATTGTGTATCATAGTGTAATTGACAGCCTTTTTTTCTTTCGTAGTGGAACTTAAAGATGCTTCTTTCAGTCAGTTGCATCTTAGATTCAATAAAATATGGTAATTGTTACTCAGTCTACACATGAAGATTGACTACTTACATTTACTCTAAGGCAAGAGCCAAACACACATCATTAGAAATATTTTTATACAGTATTTTTATAGTTAAACCAAAATTTGTTGGTAATTTTGTGAATATCTTTTAAGATCATAGAGAAATGGTGATAAAGAAAAAAATTAAATTGTTGATAATTTTTTTTTATAGTAAGTTGAAATAAATGTCACTGGTTTTGGAGGGTGGACACTTTCCCTTTACAAATACAGAAATGTAATGGCCATCCCAAAAATATGACATGTTAGCAATTTTCAGAACAGACTGTGATAGGAAGAATAGTCATTTCAGAAAATTAAAAATTAGGAACCTACTCTGCTTGTATTTTGAAAATCCAAGAAAAATTTTTATCAGCTCTTGCCATGAATGCTATATATCAGAAAGGATATATCTAAGTCAAGAACTTGGCACCTTAAAAAAGACATTATAATTGGTACACAGTTGTTAAAGCATCACTTAATTACGTCTTCATTATGCCTCTACTATCCTCAAACTAAAACTAGTAAAAGATTAAATTCACTGAGCATAATAGAGTGTTTCATGCTTGGACATCCATTGAAAAATCAAAATTCTCTTTTTGAATCAGTAATTTTAGTAAATATAGATAAAATTTTCAGTCTTATCTTCCCAGGCAAGACTTACTGTATGAGAATTGAACCAAGTATCTGAGTCAAAGGACATATTTTAAAATGTTCTCTTTATAAATGAAAAATCTAAGTGAGGAGAGTTGAGGATTAATTACCAGCACATCAATTTAGTCATCCCAAACTCATTCACTACATACATAGTTCGATTTTTACATATTGGAATTAAATTGTGCCCTACAGGTTATCTGGCTCTACCACTAAGTAATGCTTGAATTTCACCCATCCCCACCCTCAAACATGTCTGTCAGGTGGTTAACTTAAATGGTGTAAGGGTAGGGAGTTTACTACTTCCTACCTGAGACCACCTTTAACATAAAATTTGACTGTCATTTTTGCTTCTTAATCTTTTAAGTTTTTCACTAAGCCAACGTTGAGAATCTTTTTCATGGTTAACTATCATATACCCTTTTACCCTCCATATTTTCTATCCAGATTAAATAATCCCAATTTCTCCATCCTGCATTTAAAGTCAGGTAGCCAGTTCCAGAAAATAGTTTTGTTTTGCATGAGGTTTATTTCCTTGAGTCTTTTGTATAAATTCTAAAAAGACTTGTATAATAGCTCTCTTCCCACAAAATACTTCTTTACTCTCATGATGCAATTTTCTGTTGAGTTTTCTCTCCCAGTTAGTTGCATGTCTCAGTAATCAGTGGGGTCTTTGGCTTTGGTGTGCATTTAATTTGAATCCTCTCATTCATTTAGCCTTGCTCCTGCTTTCCTTGCAGTTGATCCCTAAAACTTTATTTTTAAAAGCCAGAATAGTCATTTTTCTTAAAATGAGGAAATTCTAGAATCTAAAATAGCATTTAATGATCTAGTGTTTATGTCATTAGCTAAATGTTTACTTCTCAAATGCACTTTGGATATCTATCTATATATATATAAAAGCCAAGTGACTGAAATGACCAGAACGATTGGAATGACCGGTTGCTATGATGCACACTGCGGCCAGTCAACCGGCCCAATCAGGGGCTGGGCCGGCCAGCCAACCTCCCGCGGTCCCTCACCCCCATCTGCCCGGCCTCAATCGGGGGCAGGGATGGGGCTGGCGGCCAACCTCCCACGGCTCCTCACTCCTGCCGGCCTGGCCCTGATTGGCCCCAATAGGGATGGGCCAGTCAGACCCACTCGTGCACGAATTTGTGCACCAGACCTCTAGTAAGGATATAATATTTAGATGCTCTGTATATGTCAGTTACTAAATTATTAACATAGCAGGGTTTTTATTAGGTAAGTCTTTAATGTAGAAAAAAAAGCTAAACAAAACGGTATTTTTTTTTTTTAAATACAGTTTTTACTGATTTCAGAGAGAGAGAGAGAGAGAAAGATCAGTGTTGAGAGAGAATCATTGATTAGCTACCTCCCATATGCCCCCCTATTGGGGATCGAGCCTGCATTGTGCCCTGACCAGGAATTCAACCTGAAACTCTTGTCCATGCTCAACCACTGAGCCACACCAGTCAGGCAATTTTTTTTTTAAATATGTGGTTCATATAATAAATCTGATCAAACTCTCCTGCAAGTTCATTAAGTCAAGTATTTTATGGTAGTTTACAGAAGCCGAAAGCAGCTATCAAATTTGCTGCTTTTAGAACATCATGTCCCAAAGTATGTTTCTTGAAGTAAATACTAGTGTCTTAAGAGAATTCTGTGTGTTGTTTAGGAAATAAATTTTCATAGTCAAACATATTGAGAAAATGTTCCACCAGTTTTTTACCATAAAACTTCTCAGAGCCTTTCGTATGTGCTTGAACACCATCACTGTTATCTTCAAAAGAGAACCATAGTTTGCACTTTCATAGTTTGCTTTATGCACTGTGAAATGTGTTTTTAGAGGCACACTATTAACAAGGCACTGGTATTCCAAGAAATATATATTTTAGGAAAGATTCTTCTAGAATATATAGTTTTTATTCATATGGTATGGTGCGGTCTTGTTTACAAGTTTATTTTTAAAACTTTTTCCCACTCCAGAAAAAAGGTTAGTGCAAAATACTAAGGAAATTATTACTCTAAATTTTTAGCTTTCTCTGATCTTCGCTCTTTTTTCATTGGGAACCTACTAACCATTAATTAACCAAAAGAAAATAGAGATTTATACCAGTTGTGATAAACATTGCCACTCCAAAACTGAAGTGCAGTGGTTCTTAAACTTTGATGTCCACAAGGGTCACCTCAGGTGTTTGTTTAAAACACAGGTACACTGATTCTGCAGGTTTGAGGTGCGTTTTTCAACAAGCTCCCTAGGTAATTCTGGTGCGGCAATGGCATGACTTTGCAGTATGCAGGCCTAAAGGGATTCCATATATTGGAACTTAGGTTAGACTCATTGTAACAGTAAGACATTGAGAAGCTTCCAAGTCTTTTTACCTTTGGCATTTTTTGGAATTAAGTATCTGTTTCCCCTAAATTTAATATCAGTAAATATGAATTGCAATGAGAAATTAAAAAACACAGCCAGTCTCACAAATAGCAAAATATCAGGCCAGCTTTTTCTTGTTAGCAATGTCATTTGGTGTTTGTAAAGGATGGTTATTATTTGCTTTATACCATTCAAAACTTCTACCTAATTTCATTTTTTATTTACACTTATTCTGAATTGCATTGTGTTAATAAATTACCAAAAATTTTGGCTCTAAAGAAGTACATAAGCATATGTCATTCTTTTTAAATGACAAAGGAGCATGATGTGATATAATTATTATCAGTGTCTAAAAAACTGAAATAGAATAATCACAAGGGTACAGAAATACATGTATATGTATGTGATATTCTTGCAATTAAAGTGAATCCTCTATAAAATTAATGTTTTTTTGGTACACCCAAAAACCTGTTGATTATAGATGCACTTTAACTTTTAGTAACTTCTTTATGTGTATAAAACTAAAAATTAGTGAAAGCAAGAATAAATAAAATATATATCCTTTTTACGCAGATATAACTGATTGCTAGTTTTATTTCTATCCATATATGGATGATAAGCTGTATTAAAGAAGCATAGCAATTATTTTTATGTATGATTTCAGTAAAGAGAAAATATATAGGTCTAAAGAGAAAACATAAAGTTCATCCTTATTAGATAAGTTCCATTTTAATATCTGAATTTTAATTAATGGATTGCATTATTTCCTTTTCTAGAAACAGTAACTCAAGAACACATGGATCCTGGGACCTGAAGGTATGGTACTGCTAGGTGATCAGATAGAAATATTTAGTTAAAATATGAAGTTGGCAGTTCATTCATTACAATGACCATGCTTTGACTTTAAGATAAAAATGACTTGTCCTCAGGGGAATATGCAGGTTTCACTATACTTTGAGAAAATTACCAGGCACTTTGAAAGTCCATTTGTGTGATTATTACAGGAACAGGAAGTCCTGTGACTGTTATACATGAACTGCAGCCAATATCTGGACGTCAAGGTCCATGAGAGTAGCTAACGTGCCAAGTGACCAAGGCCGCGACTACTGTGGCAGCCTAGAGACTGCCTTTCTGACCATAATGCTGCAGAAGTGGTGGAAGGAAGCTGCTATTTTAGAGACTATCTTAGGAAAATTATTTGTATTTGAGATACAAAAATCAGAAACTGAAAAGGCAAGTACTGTTTTCCACAGAAACTGGGAAAAATATTGAGCACAGTAGGATAACCAAAGTGCTTACTCAGAGATACTCTTATGAATCTACACTCTGAATTTTCCTGCCTCTATTTCCATTTCTGATTTTGGAGGTAAATGATGAAAGGATGTTGCTACTGATTTTCTTACTCATACACTATTATCATTTTCTAGAGTTAATAATACATAGGTCACAGCCTTCTTTAGCACAGAGTTCTTATGGATTTTGTTCTGTTATTTTTTTGTTTGTTTTTTAATGCTAAAAGAAGAATTCAAGTCATCTACTTTAAAGTCATCTAATTTACTGGAAGGTCTATGAAAATACATAATTTAATTTTTATTGGGTTCTGAAGATACTTTTTGCATCCTTATATTATTGCTCCATTGGCACAAAAGACTTTCTCCCTCTTATTAGTATATCAGTAACTTAGGAAATGTGTCATCGTGACATTTGGCAGAAGGTAGAGAAAGAGATCACAATAGGATTGACTTAGGAAGGATATGCAGTAGTTGTCGAGAGCACCAGGACTGGATGACCTGCTTTGGCAATGTCAATATTGGACAAACAATGTCAAAAAAAAAATTTTATTTTTAAGAGTGTACTTGGAGGGATAGCATCCATCTTTGCTTTATCATCACAAATCCTTACCAAGGTACCATCTTGGCTCAATCCTTTCACTAGAAACTCTTAACAGGGTTTATTTCCTACCACTTTAACTCTAAGTCTGTGATTTGTAGGCACTGTAGTATTGTCCCATCTTCAACCCAGCCCAGTCTTATTTCCTTGCAGTAACTAAAAGTAATTTGACAACAGCAACAAAAAAAGATGAAGTACATCTCCTTTATATCATCCCGAAAGATTAGCAATGTCCCTGGAACACCCAGTTTCTACTTAATGACTTCAGTTACTTACAATATAGGAAAGTGTCATGTCTTCTATATCTTGTTGATAAGATTAGCCTTCAGTTTTCCAAGAGCAGGTTTTATATATAATACCAACATTACCTTTTTGGAAAGTAAAAAAGATAATAAAGGCAGTGTAAATACAACATCTGCAATCCTCCTTTCCCAATTTTCTGTAAAAATACTCGTGAAAACATTCAAATATGAAAAAAAAATCATTCATAGGAACTTAGGTAAGAATACTGGAAACAAGAAGGAATTTTTACTAAATAAAGCAGTAAAGGGTAGATTTTTTTTTTTTAATGGCTGAGTCAAATTTCACATTGAAAGAACTTGTCAGTAAAACTTGCTTTTCATCTGACTCCTGAGACAGTCATTGAGAGTCCCGTCAGAAGAGGCTTCATTCTGCATTTCTTAACTGTGGTGCTAAAGCGGCCCTGTCTTGGAGATTTTCTTTAACCAAGAGAACCACAGTTGGCGTTAACCTGGGCAGAGGGGTCATAAAAGAGATCCCACCTCTGACCAGAATAATGCTGAATGGCAAAGGCAGAACAAGTGACCCGAACAGATCTTAGTTCTGCCCCTTGGCAGATTTAGGATACTAAAAACAGAAATTTTTTTGAAAAATTTTAAGTGTTTTTTTTTTTCAGCCACTGTTCTAAGAACTTTGTTCTTATTACCAGGAAATTCCTTACACTCCTAGCCTAAGCCTAGATCTGAAGGACTTCCTTGGGTTTCCTGGAGGAATGAAATGAGTTTAACATTTCTGACCATCTGCTAAGTAATACATCAGTACTTGAGTGGACTGCTAAAGAGCTAAAAGGATTCCTCAGAGTCTGCCAATTCTGTAGTTGGCCTAGCTAAATCAATTTTCATAGAGAAATGAGTAACTAAACGGACAAGAGATTTGACCAGTACTTCGCAAAGAAAGCCAAGAAGGGATCACAGGGGAGGGGACGCAAAGGAAGGGAGGATTGGGTAAATTCTTTATTTTTTTATAAAGAAATTAAAACCTCTTTGTTACTTTAGCAGTTAATGTAAGTTTTAGAGTCTTTTTTAAATCTTTAATCATATTAGTCATCAAGAAAATGCACATTACAACTACAGTAAGATACCCTTACATTGGTAAGAACAGCAAACATTAAAGTATTGACAATACCAAGAGTTGGTGAAAGTGTGGAACAACAGGAACTCTCATTAACTACTGGTGGAAGTCTTAACCACTTTGGGAATGTTTGACAAATATCTGCTAACATTGAAACATATCTACTCTCAACTTAGTGATTTCACTTCTAAGCATATATCAACAGAGATAAGAACATATGTATACCCAAAAAATATATACAAGAATGTTCTTAGCATTACTCATAATAGCCTCAGAGTGAAAACAGCCTTGGTGTCCATCAACAGAATACATACGAGATATTGCAAATATCTATATAACAAGGAAATGAGTTAACTCGTGCTACATATAACAATTTGGATGAATCTCATAAATGTGATGTTGACCAAAAAAAAAAAGAAAGAAAGAAAGAAAAACAGCCAACAGAAGAAAATATACCTTTAGGCTCAATGGAGTAGGGAGAGATCACAAAAGGGGCATATGGTGTGTTAGTAATCTCTCTGACCAGCATGGTGATAATAACTGAGCTGTACTTTTTGTGGTTTATGCGTTTTTGTGTTATTTATCTTACAGTACTTCAGTTAATGTTTTTGTTTCCTAATGAGTTAAGCAAAATCAACACAAGGTGGGACAGACTTCTGCAGTGAGAAAAGAGCAGTATCCTGAGGCATTTAAGGAAGAAGGGCTTTCAGGAACCAGATCCGAGCTACCTTTGTCAGTGTTGTATATTGTCCTGAACAATCTTCCCTTTAAGGGATTCTGCGGCTTAAATTACAATAAACCAAAAATGCCACAGTAAAAGTTAAGCAGCACCCGCAGATGAATAGAGTTTAAGAGGAAAGGTACAGGTTTAAAAGGCTGATTATAAAGATTTTCCTTTGAATAATAGATGTTCCCAAACAAGACAGCAGAAAATTAAACAGTAAATAGTTTTAACAGAAGGAACCTCAGTCTATAAAAAGGCTCATGTCTGAAGATCCTCTTCACATTGGATGTGGGCTGGAATGGAGCAGTGTCCACAGCATTGTGTAGTCAGGATTTCTCTACTCATCCAAACGTGAAAGTAACAAACGTTCTGTGATATGCAACGCGCTGCTCATTTGCTCTATAGAAAGGAGTTACTTGAATATAATCACTACACTACCAAAATGAATCAAAATTAAGAATAAAAGGAAAGAAAGGCCAGTCGGTGAGTATTGAAATCAGTGAAGTTCCAAGAAGGAATGGCAGTTTCTTTATGGAGGGGGGTGCAATGTGTATTTTTTTACTTTGCAAATTAAATGTAAGTTTAAGAATCTTGAAATCTGTTAATATGGTTAATAATAAAAATTAATAACACTGTCTCCTGTCCAAATCTTTGAAAAAGCAAAGGAAGTACTTTGACAAAAGAAAACACTTAGATCAAAACTGTTTAAATTCTAAAAACAAAATAGAATGATTTGCTTCTTCCAAGAGATCTTTAATCAAATTATATCATACCATAAAAGGTATCTCAGAATATGATTTGAGAAAGTATATGCACAGTCTCTAATAAAATTACAATCAGGGCCCTGGCTGGGTAGCTCAGTTGGTTAGAGTATCTGCCAAGGTTGTGGGTTTGATCCTCGGTCAGGGCACATACAGTATCAACCAATGAACGCATAAGTGGAACAACAAAACAACAAATTGATGTTTCTCCTCCCGCCCCTCTAAAATCAACTGAAAATATAAAATTGTAAACAGTAGTGAAGACAGCAAGCCCTAACAATATATATCTAGGATAATATAGCATTAAAATGCAGAAGTACAATGGCTTTTAAAATCATGTAGAGATGCTGGTGGGACCTTAACAGATGTTCTGTGGACTATCAAACACAGCAAATAGAAGGGAGAGATTACCCTAAAAATGGAAAAAATAAGACAAAAAGAAAATATAGCTTTTTCTCAAATGGAATGGTTTACAAATCAATCAGATGGCAATATTGAATGACAAAGGCAGCATAGAGGACCCAGCTGATTTAGAATATTTGCAGCAGTCTACGGCCATACCATCCTGAATATGCCCAATCTCGTCTGATCTGGGAAGCTAAGAGAGTCGGACCTGGTTAGTATTTGTATGGGAGAATATTTGCAGTAGTATTCAAAACAAAACCTCTCAACTTGTTCTTTCCAGACTGTTCTAAAAACAAATTGCAAGGAAATCACTTATCTTCTATCCCAAGCCCAAATCCTTTGACCTTGTTTGGTTTATTTCCCAGAGGAATGAGGTGGGTCTGCATTTGGTGCCCACATGCTGAACATCCATCAGCATCTGAGGAGTATAAAAGCTGAAGGCAATTCTTGGAACCTGGTAAGCCCCTGTAGTGCATTTTAAAGGGCAGAAGTTGCACAGTTTCTATTCTTTGACCACAAGGTACTAAAACTAGAAAATAAAAGCACAATCACCTGAAAAATAATTTAAAAGCTCTCTTCTGAACAGCTGTTTGTTTCATTAACAAAAATGTAGAAGATAATGTTTATGCTGAAAAGGAAATTGATAGCCATTATTGCATAGAGGAAAATGTGAGTTAAACATGCAGCAACACTAGAAACAAAAGTAACAGATAAGATTAATTCTATATAATAAAAGTCTAATATGCTAAGTGTCCAACCATTCATTTGACTAGTCACTATGATGTACATTGACCACCAGGGGCAGATGCTCTGACCAGTAGATTAGCTTGCTGCTGGTGTCTGGCTGATGGGGCCTGGGCGAGATGGGCCCCAAATGGGCCGATCAGGACTGGGCGAGATAGGCCCAGACATGCCCTGGACGAATCCATACACCGGGCCAGTTTTGGCCTGGTCCCCGCAGGCCATGCCAAGGGACCCCACTGGTGCACGAATCTGTGCACCGGGTCTCTAGTAGTCAATAATCCTATATAATAAAAGCCTAATATGCTAAGTGTCTGGTTGTCCGTTCAACCAATCAAAGCATAATATGCTAATGATATGCTAAGGCAGCTCAACTGCTTGCTATGACATGCACTGACCACCAGGGAGAAGACAGTCTGACCGTTAGGTTAGCTTGCTGCTGGGGTCCAGCTGGTTGGGACTGAGCCAGATGGGCCAGACATGCCCTGGAGCCCTCCCACAGTCATCGTCCCCACCCCCACCCCCCTTCAGCCTGGCCTGCGCCCTCTCATAATCCAAGAGCCCGTTTCGGCCCAATCCTATTCAACGCAGGAACTGCACCCTGGTGGTCAGTGCACTCCCACGGGGGAGCGCTGCTTAGCCAGAAGCCAGCTCACAGCTGGTGAGTGCTAAGGATGTCCAGGGAGCAGCCCTAAGCCATCAGTTGGACATCCCCCGAGGGCTCCCTGCCTGTGCCCTGCAGGCCGGACTGAGGGACCACCCCCCCTCGGGTGCACGAAATTCTGAACAGAAATAAGTTAGAAAATGTAAAAAGGCAACCTCTTAGAAAATGCATCTTCTAAAAAATCGAAGTTAGAAATAATGAAGGTCATGAGAAAACAGGAGTCTTTTAAAAGTAAATATTTTCCATTATATTCTAAACATTTGGTAAGTGGCTAAACAAGTTAAGAAAATCCACTTACAGTCTCCCTAAACAACAACAAAAATATCAATGGTGGTCAGTGCATGTCCACATTGACCTGTGATTGGATGCAGAGCTACCTGAGAAAGGAGTGTCTCCTTTGGCAAGGAACTCTTCAACTGAGACAATCCCTGAAAGAGACTGACAGCTGAGGACTATCTCGCCCTGCCCATAGCACTGCTAGCAGCTGGGGGAATAAGGCCTTCAGTCCTGAAGGGGAACTTGGAGAGTGTATCATGGAAAGGTAACTAGCAGCTACCACAGAGCTTGATATGTGTAGTCATTCAACAAACATTTGTTGAATAGATGAATATTCTTGTTTTATCTTTTAAACGGCTCACCCTTCCCAACAGAAAAATAAATGTGATTATTATTAAAGCATTTACAGGCAATTGCCTTTAATACTATCTTTTTTTTTTTTTCATAAAAAGACTGGCAGAAAGACTGGCAAGAAATCTTTGTAATGAAGCTATACCTGCAGCCAAGAAAAATGGCATTATATGACAGATATCTGTGAGGCTCTGCTGTAACTTGATGTGCAGCATTTTGTAAAAAGCCTTTTCATTTTGAATCAGTGTCAAATGTACAGAAAGCTTGCCAAAAGGGTACAAAGAACTTCTGTTATTACTTCATCACACAGGAAGAGGTTCCAGGTTTAGTTTGTACTTCCTCTGCCCGAACGCTGGAATCAGCGTTTCTCTGAACCTCTGTTTAAGGCCAAAGAGTTCATGAAAGTTATATAATGGATTGTTTCTTGCTCTTTGAATTCTAAAGATACAACTGTGCGTGAAATCCTACCTCCAAAGGTACAGATTTCATAAGTTTATTCCAATATCTTCACTGTATAGATGTGGATCTTTAGGCTATCTTGGAAGTAATGTAGTTAATAATACTTTGCATAACATAGTTTACATTTATGTAACCAAGGCCTGTCAAAGGTGATAAAACTGCCCTGTGGTCGTTTGTAACTGCCAGTTCAGCAGCATGATTGGTGGACTTTAAGCAGATAACATGGGCTTATGTATCAGTGGAACCATTTATAGATCATACCATTAGTATGAACTAATCTCTATCTCATTAGATTGCTGTAAATATTGAATGAGATAGCTCCCATAAAATTGTTATGTAAACTATAAAGAGACATTTTAATATCAAGTGTTATTTAGAAACCTTAAGAATCACTTAACTGTTAAAACCTCTAAAAATTAACTCCTTGGTTTCTTCTGTTGTTTTTTGGTTTTGTTTTGTTTTGAATCCTCACCTGAGGATATTTTTTCCAGATCAGACGAGATTGGGCATATTCAGGGTGGTATGGCCGTAGACTGCTGCAAATATTCTAAATCAGCTGGGTCCTCTATGGTGGACGTATAAAAGCTTGGCCCTCTTGCCCCAATTTAAGGCCTTCCAAAGGGTCATCCCATCTTCAGAGCATTCCAAGGGGAAAGGCTTTCACTGAGAATCCATCACAGCTCAACTTTTTCCTCTGCCAGTTCCCTCCCTTTCTTTCCCTTTCATAGATGATCATGAGGACACTCTTCATGAACCTCCTGCCCACTACCCTCTGACTCTGACTCAGAGTCTACTTCTCAGGGAAGCCAAACTGTGCCATCCTCTTTCATTGATTTCTCTCTGGAGCCAAAAGGGATCATTACCTTTCAATATTTTGACTATTGAACATGGTTATAATTTGTAACATGAAGATTTTATGACCTTCCCTCTTGCCTACTCCACTTTCTGTTTATCAGCTAGCATGAAATATAGAGACTAAGAGACTAGAAACAGAAAGAACATAGGCAGAACCCAACACCTGTCTTGGGAAGGCAAGCTTGAGGCATATGATAGGTTTGTCTTTGCCTCCACCTCCCTTTTCTTTGCTGTCTCTCTTTCAAATGCTCTCCTCAGAAGATCCCTGGTTGACTTTATGTCTTATCAAACTGAAACTATAGCCATTAAACAATTCCTCATTTCCCCTTCCCCCAGCCCCTTGCAACCACCGTTCTACTTTGTGATTCTACGAATTTGACTACTCTACACACTTCATATATGTGGAATAATATAGTATTTGTTCTTTTCTGCCTGGCTTATTTCACTTAACATAATGTCCTCTAGTTCAGCCATGTTTTACCATGTGTCAGAATTTTCATTCATTTTAAGGCTGTATAATATTCCATTGCATATACAGGGTATCCCCCCAAAAATGTATATACACTTTAACAGCTGATGGTTCAATTTTGAAAATGAAATGTATTTTAATAAATACTGCTTTTATAATTATTCAAAGTATGTGTATACATTTTAACACTATATAAGTATATGTAGAGAGATATATAGATATTTATCACGTTTTGTCTATTAATTCATCTGTCAGTGGATGCTCCAGAAGTGGAATTGCTGAATCACATAGCAATTCTATTTTTTATTTATTTAGGATCTTTGTATATCACATTTTGTTAATTTATGCATCTGTCAGTGGATACTCGGGTTGCCTCCACCTTTTAGCTATTGTGAATAATGCTGCTGTGAACATGGATATATAAGTATCTATTCATGTCGCACATTTTACTTCCTTTCACTATATACCCATAAGTGGGATTGCTGAATCATATGATAATTCTATTTTAAATTTTTTTGAGAAACTGCCATACATTTTTCATAGTGGCCACACCATTTTACATTCCCACCAACAATGTATAAGTGTTCCAATTTATCCACATCCTCACATACACTTTTTTTGTGTGTTTTTTTTTTAATATATAGTAGCATTCTCAT